ACCAGCACCAGCACCAGCAGTGGTACAAGCACAAGCACAAGCACCAGCACCACTACCAGCACCACCACCAGCACCAGTACCAGCCTAAGCACCAGGACAGGAACAATAGCCAGTACCAGCACCAGCACCAGCCTAAGAACCAGGACAGAAAAAGCACCAGCACCAGCACTAAAACCAGTACAGGCACCAGCCCCAGCACAGGCACCAGCACCAGCACCAGTACCAGTACCAGTACCAGCACTGGCACTGGTAAAACCACCAGTACAACAACAAGCAACAGCACCAGCAGCAGCACCAGCACCATCACCAGGACCAGCATTAACACCACCACCCGCACCAGCACAGGCAACAGCACCAGCAAAAGCACCACCTGTAGTACCAGCACCGGTAGAAGCACAAGCACGAGCACCACCACCAGCAGCAGCACCAGCCTAAGCATTAACACCAGCACATAATCCAGGACTAGTACAGGCACCAGCAGACGCGCCAGTACCGCCCAGCCACGAGCACAAGCACCAGCACCACTACCAACACCACCACCAGCACCAGTACCAGCCTTAGAACCAATACAGAAAAAAAAACCAGCACCAGCACCAAAACCAGCAAAGGCACTGGGACAGGCACAAGCACCAGTATCACCACCACCACCAGCACCACAACAAGCACCACCACCAGCACAAGCACCAGCCTAAGCACCAAGACAGGCACAAGTACCAGCATCAGCAAAAGCAACGGCACAGGCACCAGCACCAGCACCACCACCGGTGCAAGCACCAGCACAAGCACAAGCATTAGCACCAACACTAGCACCAGCACCAGCACTAGTACAGGCACCAGCAGAGGCACTACCCCAGGAACCAGCACTAGCACCAAGACCACCACCAGTATCAGCACCAGCCTCAGCACCGAGTCCAGCGCAAGAACCAGCACAATCTCTAGCCCCAGCACTAGTAAAAGCACCAGCACAAGCACCGCCACCAGTCCAGGCACCAGCAGAAAAGACAGCACCAGCACAAGAACAAGCATCAGTTCCAGCACTTACACCACCACCAGCACCGGCCCAGGCTCCAGCACAAGCACATGCTCCAGCACAAGTGCCGACACCGGCCTAGGCGCCAGCAGAAGCACCAGCACAAGACCGGGTCCAGCACAAGCACAAACACCAGCACCAGCCTAAGCACGAGCCTAGGCACCAGCCTAAGCACCAGCCTAAGCACCAGCCTAAGCACCAGCCTAAGCACCAGCAGAAACAGCAGCACCAGCACAAGAACCGGGTCCAGCACAAAAAGCAGCACTAGCATAGGCTCCAGCACAGGCACTAGCACCAGTGCCAGCACCAGCACCAGAACCAGCACCAGCAGCAGCTCTAGCACTAGTACAGGCTCCAGCACAGGTGCCGACACCGGCCTAGGCACCAGCACAAGTACCAGCACCAGAACCAGCACCAGCACCAGCAACCTCCAGCACCAGAACCATCAGCACTAGCCCAAGCACCAGGACAGGAAAAAGTGCCAGCAACAGCAAAAGCAACTGCACAGGTACCAGCACAAGCACAAGAACCAGTTCCAGCACAAGCCACAGAACCATATACCACACTACCACCAGCACCAGCAGCAGCCTAAGCACCATGACAGGAAGAAAGACCAGCACCAGCACAAGCACCAGCAGAAGCACCAGCAGAAGCACCAGCACAAGCACCAGCACAAGCACCAGCACAAGCACCAGCACAAGCACCAGCACAAGCACCAGCACAAGCACCAGCACAAGCACCAGCACCAGCAACAGCACCAGCACCGGCCCAGGCTCCAGCACTTGTACAGGTACTAGCACAGACACCTTCACAGGCACTAGATCCGGCACCAGCACTAACACCACCAACAGCACCAGCACCAACCTATGCACCAGGTCAGGCCAAAACGCCGGCACCAGCACTAACACCAGAACCAGCAGAGGCACCACAACCAGTAGCATCACCAGCTCTAGCACCAGCACCAGTACCGCAACCAGCAGCAGCACCAGCCTAAATACGAGCACCAACTCCAGCATTGGGACAGGCACCAGCACAAACGCCAGCACCAGCCCAAGAAACGGCCAAAGCACAAGCAGCAGCAACAACACCAACACCAGCTCAAGCACCAGCACCAGCACCAGCACAAGCACTTGCACTGGCCCAAGTTTCCGCTACGAGTACAAGCACAAGCACCAGCACAAGAAACAGCACCAGAATCAGTACCGGCACCAGTACAAGAAAGAGCATAAACACCAGCACAAGAACCAGCACAAGCATCAGCACCAGCACGAGCATCAGCACTGACACCAGTACAAGGACCAGCATAAGAAGCAGCACAAGCATCAGCTCAAGCACTAGCATCAGCATCAGCACCAGCACCAGCACCAGCAACAACACCACCACCACCACCACCACAAGCACCAGCAGAAAGCAGCAGGACAGCCACAAAGGCCAGAACCTGCAGCAGCACCAACACCGACACAAGTTCTAAGTCAAGCTAAAGCACCAACATCAGCACCATCCTAAGCACCAGGACAGGCAAAAGCGCCAGCATCTGCAAAACCAATGGCACAAGCACACGCACCAGCACCAGCAGCAGCACTAACACCACCACAAGCACCAGCACAAACCTATGCACCAAGACAGGCCAAAACGCCAGCACCATCACTAACACCAGCACCAGCAGAGGCACCAGCACCAGTACCATCACCAGCTCTAGCACCAGCACCAGTACCGCAGCCAGCAGCAGCACCGGCCTAAGCACCAGGTCCAGCTCCAGCATTAACACCATAACCAGTACCAGCTCAAGCCATAGTACAGGCACTAGCACAGGCACCAGCACCAGCACTAACACTACCATCAGCCACAAAACTAGCCTAAGCACCAGAAGATGCTCAAGCCCCAGCACCAAGCACCAACACCAGCACCAGAACAGGCACAAGCAAAGGCACCAGCACAGGCACCAGCACCAGCACCAGCACCAGCACCAGCACCAGCACCAGCACCAGCGCCAGCACCAGCACCAGCACCAGCACCAGCACCACCACTAAGACCATAACCAGCACCAGCTCCAGCAATATTACAGGCACCAGGACAGGCACAAGCGACAGCACCACCAAACCAACACCAGCACCAGCCCCAGCACCAGCATCAGCACCCGCACAAGCCTAAGCCTCAGCCCCAGCACCAGCACAAGAATCGGTACGAGCACCAGCTCCAGCACTAGTACAGGCACCAGCACAAGTCCCGGCACCGGCAAAGGCACCAGCATAAGCACTAGCACCAGCAAAAGCAACGGGTCCAGCAAAAGCACCAGTAACACCACCAGCAGCAGCAGCACCACCAGCACCACCACCAGTACCAGAACAGGAAAAAGCGCCTGCACCAGCAAAAGCAATGGTACAGGTACCAGCACAAGCACAAGCACCAGTTCCAGCATAAGCCACAGCACCATTACCCGCACCACCACCAGCACCAGCAGCAGCCTAAACACCAGGACAGAAAGAAGGACCAGCACCAGCACAAACACCAGCACATGCACCCGCACATGCACCAGCACTGCACCAGCACAGGCACCAGCACAGGCACCAGCACCCACACCAACACCACTACCAACACCAGCACCAGCACTAGAAAAAGCACTAGGACAGGCACCAGCCTAAGCACCAGCACCAGCAAAAGATCCAGCAGTAATTCAGGCACTAGCACAATTGCCGGCACTGTCCCAGGCACCAGAACAAGCACCAGCACAAGCACCAGCACAAGCATCAGTTCCAGCATTGGGACAGGCACCAGCACAAGCGCCTGCACTGGCCCAAGTAACGGCCAAAGCACAAGCAGCAGCAACAACACCAACACCAGCTCAAGCACCAGCACCAGCACCAGCACAAGCACTTGCACTGGCCCAAGTTTCCGCTACGAGTACAAGCACAAGCACCAGCACAAGAAACAGCACCAGAATCAGTACCGGCACCAGTACAAGAAAGAGCATAAACACCAGCACAAGAACCAGCACAAGCATCAGCACCAGCACGAGCATCAGCACTGACACCAGTACAAGGACCAGCATAAGAAGCAGCACAAGCATCAGCTCAAGCACTAGCATCAGCATCAGCACCAGCACCAGCACCAGCAACAACACCACCACCACCACCACCACAAGCACCAGCAGAAAGCAGCAGGACAGCTACAAAGGCCAGAACCTGCAGCAGCACCAACACCGACACAAGTTCTAAGTCAAGCTAAAGCACCAACATCAGCACCATCCTAAGCACCAGGACAGGCAAAAGCGCCAGCATCTGCAAAACCAATGGCACAAGCACACGCACCAGCACCAGCAGCAGCACTAACACCACCACAAGCACCAGCACAAACCTATGCACCAAGACAGGCCAAAACGCCAGCACCATCACTAACACCAGCACCAGCAGAGGCACCAGCACCAGTACCATCACCAGCTCTAGCACCAGCACCAGTACCGCAGCCAGCAGCAGCACCGGCCTAAGCACCAGGTCCAGCTCCAGCATTAACACCATAACCAGTACCAGCTCAAGCCATAGTACAGGCACTAGCACAGGCACCAGCACCAGCACTAACACTACCATCAGCCACAAAACTAGCCTAAGCACCAGAAGATGCTCAAGCCCCAGCACCAAGCACCAACACCAGCACCAGAACAGGCACAAGCAAAGGCACCAGCACAGGCACCAGCACCAGCACCAGCACCAGCACCAGCACCAGCACCAGCACCAGCGCCAGCACCAGCACCAGCACCAGCACCAGCACCACCACTAAGACCATAACCAGCACCAGCTCCAGCAATATTACAGGCACCAGGACAGGCACAAGCGACAGCACCACCAAACCAACACCAGCACCAGCCCCAGCACCAGCATCAGCACCCGCACAAGCCTAAGCCTCAGCCCCAGCACCAGCACAAGAATCGGTACGAGCACCAGCTCCAGCACTAGTACAGGCACCAGCACAAGTCCCGGCACCGGCAAAGGCACCAGCATAAGCACTAGCACCAGCAAAAGCAACGGGTCCAGCAAAAGCACCAGTAACACCACCAGCAGCAGCAGCACCACCAGCACCACCACCAGTACCAGAACAGGAAAAAGCGCCTGCACCAGCAAAAGCAATGGTACAGGTACCAGCACAAGCACAAGCACCAGTTCCAGCATAAGCCACAGCACCATTACCCGCACCACCACCAGCACCAGCAGCAGCCTAAACACCAGGACAGAAAGAAGGACCAGCACCAGCACAAACACCAGCACATGCACCCGCACATGCACCAGCACTGCACCAGCACAGGCACCAGCACAGGCACCAGCACCCACACCAACACCACTACCAACACCAGCACCAGCACTAGAAAAAGCACTAGGACAGGCACCAGCCTAAGCACCAGCACCAGCAAAAGATCCAGCAGTAATTCAGGCACTAGCACAATTGCCGGCACTGTCCCAGGCACCAGAACAAGCACCAGCACAAGCACCAGCACAAGCATCAGTTCCAGCTCTAGTACAGGCACCAGCACAAGCGCCTGCACTGGCCCAGGCACCGGCACTGGCCCAGGCACCGGCAGAAGCCTCAGTATCAGCACCAGCACCAGCGCCAGCCTAAGCTCCAGGACAGGCACAAGCGCCAGCCCCAGCATCAGCACAAGCAACGGGTCCAGCAGAAGCACCAGTACTAGCACCAACACCAGCACAGACACCAGCACCAGCACCAGCACCAGCACTAGCACCATCACCAGCACCACCACCAGCACCAGCCACAGCACCATCACAGCATCAGCCCAAGCACCGTCCCAGGCACCAGCACAATCACCAGTACAAGCACCAGCAAGAGCACCGGGTCCACCAGAAGCACCAGCACCACCACCACCACCAGCAACAGCACCATCACCAGAAGCAGCATCACCACCAGCATCAGCAACACCACCAGCATCATCCTAAGCACTAGGACAGGAAGCATCAACAAAGGCAACGGCAGAGGCACCAGAACCAGCACCAGCACTAGCAAAAGAACCGTGTCCAGCAAAAGTACCAGCACCAAAACAATCACCAGCAGTAGCACTAGTGCAAGCACCAGCACAGACAATGGCATCCGCCTATTCTCCAGCACAAGAAGGAGAACCAGCACAATCACCAGCACCAATACCACCACTAGGACCAGCACCAATACCACCACCAGCAACAACACAGGAACCAGCACCAGCACCAGCACTAGCACCAACAGCAGCACCAGCACCAGCCTAAGCACCAGAAAAGGCACAAGCGCCAGCACCAGCACCAACACCAAGCCACAAGCCACAGGACCACCCAACACACACCAGCACTAGCTCTAGAACCGGCACAAGAACCGGTACGAGTACTAGCACAAGCACCAGCACCCGCAGAAGCATTAGCAACAGCACAAGCAACATCACCGGCACCAGTAGAAGCACCAGCATAAACACCAGCACAAGCACCATTACCACCACCAGCAGCAGCACCTGCACCAACACCACCACCAGCACCAGCACCAGCCAAAGCACTAGGACAGGAAGAAGCGCCAGTACCAGCAAAAGAATCGGCACAGGTACCAGCACAAGCACAAGCACCGGTTCCAGCGGAAGCCAAAGCACCATAACCCGCACCACCACCAGCACCAGCAGCAGGCTTATCACCAGGACAGGCAAAAGGACAAGCACCAGCACAAACACCAGCACAAGCACAAGCAACTGGACCAGAACATGCTCCAGCACTTGCACCAGCACAGGCACCAGCACCAACACCAGCACCAGCACCACCACCACCACCAGCACCGACCTCAGCACTGGGACAGGCACCAGCCTAAGCACTAGCACAAGCACCAGTATCACCACCAGCAGCAGCATCACCACCAGCACCACCACCAGCACCAGCACCAGCCGAAGCACCACGACAGGAAAAAGTGCAAGCACCAGCAAAAGCAACGGCACAGGTACCAGCACAAGCACAAAGACCGGTTCCAGCACAAGCCACGGCACCATAACCCACACCACCACCAGCACCAGCTGCAGCCTAAGCACCAGGACAGGAAGAAAGACCAGCACAAGCACCAGCACAAGCACCAGCACAAGCACCAGCACAAGCACCAGCGCCAGCAACAGCACCAGCACCAGCACCGGCCCAGGCTCCAGCAATAGTACAGGCTCCAGCACAAGTGCCGCCACCGGTGCGGGTACCAGTAGAAGCAACAGCAGCAGCACCAGCACCAACCTATGCACCAGGACAGGCCATAACGCCGGCACCAGCACTAAAACCAAAACCAGCAGAGGCACCAGCACCAGTACCATCACCAGCTACAGCACCAGCACCAGTACTGCAACCAGGAGCAGCACCAGCCTAAGCAACAGCACCAACTTCAGCATTGGTACTGGCACCAGCACAAAAGCCAGCACCGGCCCAAGTAAGGGCCAAAACACAAGCAGCAGCAACAAAACCAGCACCAGCTCAAGCACCAGCCCCAGCACCAGCACAAGCACTTGCACTGGCCCAAGTTTCCGGTACGAGTACCAGCACAAATACCAGCACCAGCACAAGTCACAGCACCAGCATCAGCACTGGCACCAGTACAAGCAGCAGCATAAACACCAGCAAAAGTACCAGCACAAGCACCATCTCCAGCACTTGTATAGGCACCAGGACAGGCACAAGCACCAACACCAGCACCAGCAACAGCACTTGTACAAACACCAGCACAAGCACAGGAGCCGCCTCAAGCACTAGCACCAGCACCAAAACAAGAACCGGGTCCAGCATAAGCAACAGCACCACCAGCACCAGCACCAGCTTTAGTACAAGGACCAGCAAAAGCGCGGGCACTAGTACTACACCGGTACAGGCACCAGTACCAGCTCCAGCACTAGTTTAGGCACCAGTACCAGCTCCAGCACTAGTGCAGGCACCAGCACAAGCGCCGGCACCGGTGCATGGACAAGCACAAGCAACAGCACCAGCACAAGCACCAAATCTAGCACGAACACCAACATAAGCACCATCACAAAAACCAGCACAAGCACCGGCATCAGAACCAGCACCAGTAGCACCACTAGCACCACCATCAGCACCACCACCAGCTCTAAAATCCAAGCACTAGGAAACTAAGAACAAGCACAGGTTCAAGCACAAGCACCACCACTAACACCAGCACCAGCACCAGCCTAAGCACCAGGACAGGCGGAAGCGCCAAAATCAGCAAAAGCAAAGGCACAGGCACTAGCACCAGCACCAGCGCCAGCACCAACACTAGAACCAGAATCAGAACAAGCACCAGCACCAGTTCCTGCTCCAGCAATAGTACAGGCACCAGAACAAGCGCCGGCTCTTGCACAAGCACCAGCACAAGCACCAGCACCAGCAGCAAGACGAGCACAAGCACCACCACACACACCACCACCAGCACCACCAACATCACACCCCCCAGCACCACCACCAACCTAAGCACCAGGACATCAGAAGCGCCAGCACTAGCACCAACACCAGCACTAGCACCAGCACCAGCACCAGCACCAGCACCTGCACAAGCACCCAGTCCAGCACCAGCACCAGAAACAACACCAGCTCCAGCACTAGTACCAGCACCAGCAACAGCAACAGCACCATTACCAGCACCAGCGCCATCGCAGGCACCGGATCCAGCACAAGCACCAGCACCAGCACCAATACCACCACCCCAACCAGAACAGGCACCAGCACAAGCACCAGCACCACCACCAGCACTAGCACCACCACCAGCACCAGCACCAGCCTAAGCAGCAGGACAGGCTTAAGCGCCAGCACCAGAACCAACACCAGCACAAGCACTGGGTCAAACACAAGCACCAGCACCACCACCAGCAGCAGCACCAGCCTAAACACCAGCACCAACTCCAGCATTGGGACAGGCACCAGCACAAACGCCAGCACCAGCCCAAGTAACGGCCAAAGCACAAGCAGCCGAAACAACACCAGCACCAGCTCAAGCACCAGCACCAGCACCAGCACAAGCACTTGCACTAACCCAAGTTTCCGCTACGAGTACCAGCACAAGCAACAGCACCAGAATCAGTACCGGCACCAGTGCAAGAAAGAGCATAAACACCAGCACAAGAACCAGCACAAGCACCAGCAGAAGCGCCAGCACCGGCCCGGGCACCATGACAAGCAACAGCACAAGCAGCAGAAGCAGCAAAAGCACTGGGAGCAGCACAAGCACCAACACCAGCACCAGCCTAAGCAGCAGCACCAACACCAGCAGCAACTCTAGAACCAGTACAGGCACCAGCACTAGTGCAGGCACCAGCACAAGCGCCGGCACCGGTGCATGGACAAGCACAAGCAACAGCACCAGCACAAGCACCAAATCTAGCACGAACACCAACATAAGCACCATCACAAAAACCAGCACAAGCACCGGCATCAGAACCAGCACCAGTAGCACCACTAGCACCACCATCAGCACCACCACCAGCTCTAAAATCCAAGCACTAGGAAACTAAGAACAAGCACAGGGTCAAGCACAAGCACCACCACTAACACCAGCACCAGCACCAGCCTAAGCACCAGGACAGGCGGAAGCGCCAAAATCAGCAAAAGCAAAGGCACAGGCACTAGCACCAGCACCAGCGCTAGCACCAACACTAGAACCAGAATCAGAACAAGCACCAGCACCAGTTCCTGCTCCAGCAATAGTACAGGCACGAGAACAAGCGCCGGCTCTTGCACAAGCACCAGCACAAGCACCAGCACCAGCAGCAAGACAAGCACAAGCACCACCACACACACCACCACCAGCACCACCAACATCACACCCCCCAGCACCACCACCAACCTAAGCACCAGTACATCAGAAGCGCCAGCACTAGCACCAACACCAGCACTAGCACCAGCACCAGTGTACTGAATTATAGCTTAGACCCCCTGACTCCATTTTGTTATAGCCTCGTTTTGATTAGAGACCACGTTTTTTGGAAAAGTTGATAGTTTTTGTTGATCGATATAGCTTGCACTCGCACAAATGTTTTTCTCTATCGTAAAGATATTCTCCGAATGTGTTGATTAGGATATTTTACGACACAGTGGCACCTCCGACGGGACATTGGATGTCCGTGTTATGATTTTGAGAAGTGGAGTGCTAAAAGCAATGGGATCAACCGGCGATAAAGACGAGGAAACTGGCGCTGGTGTAGGAGGCGATGAATCGTCACAAGAAATGGATAGTTATGGTATTGATAGACCAGAAGATAGTTTAAAGAATCAGTTAGAAGTTCTTATTGGAGATCGGGAACTGATAATGGTGGCAATGAAAGATTTTGTTATGGAGTTAAAGGATATCTCGGAAATTGATGGTGGTATTGATGAACAAATCGAGTCAAGAATAATGGAGTTAAAGCTGATTGTAGAGCCAATGTTGATGGATATAAAATCAGTGTCGAAGGATATTCAAGAGATAATGAAGAAATTGAATTTTAAGTCAGAATTGGTAAGAGAGTACACAACAAGTCGTTCATATGATGCAAAAATAGGTATGTTACTTAACAAATGTTCAAAGAAGAAACAGAATGATTCTTCTCGACAAGCAGCTGGTAAGCCTACTACTACTAATTCACTTTTCTCAATGAATTCACCCCATGAAGGAAGATTTGGAAATGAACAAGGACACAGCCAGTATCCTGTTGGGGGGTTTGAAAGACAATATTCTATGTACCAACCTTTAGGGCAACCTTTTAACCCCTATATGCAAAATTATTTCCCACAACCTCCCTGGCAACCTCAGTATTCACCAAGTATGGGAAGAAAAATACTGGGGAGAATTTGAGCAGTAAATTAAGGTTGCCAAAACTTAAATTGAAGTCATTTGATGGGAATATGATGAATTGGATGGAATTTTGGGACTCTTTTGAAAGGAATATTCATTTGAATTCTTCATTGTGTGATGTTGACAAGATGTCTTACCTAAAGGCTTCTCTTAAGGGTACTGCTTGTCATGCGATTGCCGATTTGCGAACTACTGGGGACAATTATGCGCCTGCAGTTGACATTTTAAAAGAGAAATATGGTAAAGCTAATTTATTGAAGGGATCTCACATGTCTGCATTAAAGGCTGTTGTTGCTGTAGCTTATTCTAAAAATTTAGATGGATTAAAAAAGTTGTTTGAACTTGTTGATATGCATGTAAAAGCATTATCTGTATTAGGTACCTCTGAAGAACAGTATTCTTTAGTTATTGTACCAGATTTAATGAAGAAGATACCAAGAGATGTTGAACTTTCCATCAGAAGAACAATGTCTGTAGACCATGAGTGGACCATGAGTGAATTTTTGAACAAGCTCAGAGAGGAACTTCTGTTCAGGGGTATGGATGAAGCAACACCAAGAGTGCAGAATTCAAGAGAAGAGAGGAATCCTAACAAAGGGAAAGCATTTGCTATTTCACCAAATGCAACCTGTGCTTTTTGTCTTGGAGAGCACAGTAGTGCTGACTGTTCTGTTGTCACTGAAGTGAAGAAGAGGAAGTCAATATTGATGAGGTATAAGAGATGTTTTTGCTGCTTGAAGAAAGGTCACCGTGTCAAAGATTGCTACAACAAGAAGCCTTGCAGCAAGTGCAATGAAGGGGAGCATCACCCTGTGATATGTGAAAAAGAAGAGAGTGTTCCAAATATGCATGTTGTCACACCTGGTGGAATAGCATATCAAACTGTGTTAGCCAAAGTGAATGTCAAGGGAAAGCCAAGTATTATTTGCAGATGTCTGTTGGATACAGGGTGTGATAAGACATACATGTTGCAGAAAACTGCTAATTTGCTGAAATCCAAGCCATTAAGACAGGAAAGAAAAGTTCTGGACACTGTGCATGGAGAAAGGCAACATATCTGCTCAGTGTACAAGATAGAAGTAAAAGACATGACAGAAAAGCTGAAATTTGAAACTGAGGTGTCCACACTCAGCAAGCTGACATCTGTCAAGAATGTGAAGCCCCAGATTTTAAAGAAAAAATTCAACCATTTGAAGAACCTGGAATTTTCAGATATTTCAAGTGAAAGAGAACTTGAAATTGATGTCATCATTGGATTGGAAGACCTTTGCAAGCTGAAAACAGGAAACATGAAATGGGGAAATGCTGGTGATCCTGTTGCAGAAGAAACAACACTGGGTTGGACTCTAATGGGACCAACAAACTCAGCAGAGGATCAAAGTTGTTCAAGTTCACTGCTGTTGACAACTGATAAGGAAAATCTGAGCAATCAGATAGCCAAACTGTGGGATTTGGAGACAGTAGGGATCAGGGAAGAAAACTCAGTGGAAGAGAAATTTGAAGATACAGTAACTTTCAATGGAGAGAGATACAGTGTGCAGTTGCCATGGAAATCAGATAGAGTCAATTTGCAAACAAACAGAAATCTTTGTGAAAGGCGGCTAAATGCGCAACTCAGAAGATTAAAGAAGGAACCGGAAATATTAAAGAAATATGATGATATCATTAAAGATCAGATAGAACAGGGTATAATTGAGGAAGTACCAGATCATCCTACAGGAGAAAGAATCCATTTCCTACCACACCATCCAGTAATACGTGAGAATGCGGAGAGCACAAATGTCCGAGTTGTGTACGACGGGTCAGCAAAAGAAAGAAAAGGAGACAAGAGTTTGAATGAGTGTTTATACACAGGACCATCATTGCTACCTATGCTACATGATGTGCTGTTGAGGTTCCGGATGTTTCCAGTGGCGCTTGTTGGTGACATCAAGAGTGCATTCCATCAGATCTTAGTTGATGAGAAGGACAGAGACAGTATGAGATTCCTGTGGGTGGAAGATGTCACAAATGAGAAACCTGTGGTTAAAGAATACAGGTTTACTAGAGTCATTTTTGGAAGTGGACCAAGTCCATATTTGTTAAATGCAACATTGCAAAGGCACCTCAAGAAGTACGAAGAAGAAGAACCAGCAGTTGTCCAAAATGTCTTACCAAACATGTATTGTGATGACTTTGTGAGTGGAGCTGCTGACAGTACGCAAGCCATAGAGTTGAAAGACAAAATTACAGAGATTATGAGAAAAGGAGGTTTTCAACTCCATAAGTGGAAGACCAACCATGTGGAGGTCAGAAAGCACATAGAGGAGAAAAGTGATCAAAAAGATTCAACTACAGTGACGTATGCAAAGGAAAGCCTAGGTACCAAAGATTCACAAAGTAAAATTTTAGGATTAAAATGGAATCCAGAAGAGGACACACTAGGAATTAGTATGGAAGCAGTGCTAGATGTGAAGAATGGTAAAGTGACGAAGAGAGAAGTCCTAAGCAGACTGTCAAAGGTATATGACCCACTGGGTATTGTGGGCCCAGTTGCAGTTACTGCAAAACTGATATTCCAAGATATCTGCAAGGAAAACAAGGATTGGGATGAGCCAGTAAGCCCAGAGATTGAAATGAGATGGAAGAAATGGATGCAAGCTGTTTCAAGGTTGACTGAACTCAAGATTCCCCGATGCATTATGCCAGCAATCGGTGGACCAAGGAAGATTTCAATTCATGTTTTCGGTGATGCAAGCAAGGCTGCATATTGCACTGCTGTATACCTTGTATGGCACCATGAAAACCAGTCAGGTGCACACCTTGTTACTGCAAAGACAAGGTTACCTCCAATAAGGAAAGAGATGACAATACCCAGGTTGGAACTAACAGCAGCAAGGATCGCAGCACGTTTGTTGAAAACAGTCAGAGAAACTCTAAAGAACTGGGAGCCAGAAGAGTTAGTTTTGTGGTCTGACAGCAGCACAGTGCTACATTGGCTAGAGAATCGAGGTCAATACAGACAGTTTGTCCAGCGAAGAGTAGATGAGATACAAGCATTAACAACGGATGTAAATTTGAAATATGTGCCCACAGCCGAGAATCCTGCAGATTTGGGCACAAGAGGATTGTCTCCCCAGCAATTAGAGCAAAGCAAGCTTTGGTGGAATGGACCAGAGTTCATAGTGGATGGAAATTATCCCCACCAGCCTCACCTGATCGAAACAGTTGAAAGCAAGGCTGAAGAAAGACAGTGTACACTTCCAATTGCTGAAGAAGAACCAAGTCTGTCAATCAACAATTTAGTGCCTGCGGAAAACTATGGCTCATATGGCTAACTGTTGAGAGTTACAGCTCTTGTGCTTAGGTTTATAAGTTGCCTCAAGGAGAAGAAAAGGCCAGATACTCAAATGTTGCGTGTAGAAGAGATCCAAGAGGCAGAAGAATTGTGGATAAAAGATACACAAGTGATGGTGAAAGGAAGAAATAGTTACTCTCAAATAAAGACACAGCTTGCAGTGATAGAAATCAATGGAATCTTACACTGCCAAGGACGTCTTCAAAACACAACACTACCAGTTGAAAGCAAGTTTCCAATACTGTTACCCCAGGATAGCAGATTTACAAGTTTGCTAATTTCAGAGTGTCACAAGCGTACAGGACACGGGGGAGTAAATACAACATTAGCGGAAGTCAGAAGCAAGTTTTGGGTCTTAAAGGGACGCCAGGCTGTGAAGCAACAATTACGTCAATGTATGGTTTGCAATAAGCGAAATGCAAAGCCATGTGCACCACCTCAATCTGGACAGCTACCAGCAGAGAGGGTGGTTCGAGGCAACCCGTTTAGTACAACCGGAGTTGACTTTGCAGGACCTATATATTTGAAGAATGAAGAGAAGGCATATGTTGCACTATTCACATGCGGCATAACCCGTGCAGTACACTTAGAGCTCACAGAAGATATGACAGCCAATGAATTTAGAGGAATGTTTCGAAGATTCATCAGCAGACGTGGAGCACCTGCTACAGTAATAAGTGACAATGCAAAAACATTCCTTGCCACTGCAAAGCACTTGAAGAAGATATGTGTAGAGCAAGAATTGCAGGATTTTTTGTTGGCCAACCGCATTGATTGGCATTTCAATGTAGCTAAGGCACCGTGGCAAGGCGGCTTCTTTGAAAGATTAGTTGGAATAACCAAGACAGCATTATTCAAGACCATGGGAAAGGCAAAACTAACCTTTAGAGAGCTGGAAAACATGTTGATAGAAGTTGAAGGAATGATAAATAATCGACCACTTACCTATCAAACATCAGATTTAGAGGAAGAGCCCCTCACTCCAAATCATATGATTCATGGTCATCGACTAGCAATGATAGGGGATGTCAAGCATGACAACGATGCAGATTTTGATGACAAGAACGTGAACAAGAGAATGAAGTTCTTGAGAGCTAAGCTAGAGCATGTATGGAATAGATGGTCAAAGGAGTATCTTTTAGGTCTTCGCGAATATCATCGCACGACTAAAGGAGGAGAAGCATTACCAGAGCTTGGAACTTTGGTATTGATCATAGATACTACCATTGAACGACGTTTCTGGAAGTTAGCCAAAATCTCCAGTTACATAAAAGGAAGAGATGATGTAGTTCGAGCAGTAAGATTAGATGCGGTATCTCAAGGACGGAAGATTGTAATGGAAAGACCACTTCAAGGAATATGCCCCTTAGAGATAAAAGCACAAGTAGAAGAGCAATATACTCAGGAAAAGCAAGTTCAGGCAAAAGAAGTCAAGCCAAGAAGAGTAGCAGCTTTTGCAGCTGACGAATTATTGAAAGTACATGCACAGTCATTAAATCAAGAGTAAAGACACTTGATTTGGGGGAGTGTACTGAATTATAGCTTAGACCCCCTGACTCCATTTTGTTATAGCCTCGTTTTGATTAGAGACCACGTTTTTTGGAAAAGTTGATAGTTTTTGTTGATCGATATAGCTTGCACTCGCACAAATGTTTTTCTCTATCGTAAAGATATTCTCCGAATGTGTTGATTAGGATATTTTACGACACCAGTACCAGCACCTGCACAAGCACCCAGTCCAGCACCAGCACCAGAATCAACACCAGCTCCAGCACTAGTACCAGCACCAGCAACAGCAACAGCACCATTACCAGCACCAGCGCCATCGCAGGCACCGGATCCAGCACAAGCACCAGCACCAGCACCAATACCACCACCACCACCAGAAAAGGCACCAGCACAAGCACCAGCACCACCACCAGCACTAGCACCACCACCAGCACCAGCACCAGCCTAAGCACCAGGACAGGCTTAAGCGCCAGCACCAGAACCAACACCAGCACAAGCACTGGGTCAAACACAAGCACCAGCACCACCACCAGCAGTAGCACCAGCCTAAACACCAGCACCAACTCCAGCATTGGGACAGGCACCAGCACAAACGCCAGCACCAGCCCAAGTAACGGCCAAAGCACAAGCAGCCGAAACAACACCAGCACCAGCTCAAGCACCAGCACCAGCACCAGCACAAGCACTTGCACTAACCCAAGTTTCCGCTACGAGTACCAGCACAAGCAACAGCACCAGAATCAGTACCGGCACCAGTACAAGAAAGAGCATAAACACCAGCACAAGAACCAGCACAAGCACCAGCAGAAGCGCCAGCACCGGCCCGGGCACCATGACAAGCAACAGCACAAGCAGCAGAAGCAGCAAAAGCACTGGGAGCAGCACAAGCACCAACACCAGCACCAGCCTAAGCAGCAGCACCAACACCAGCAGCAACTCTAGAACCAGTACAGGCACCAGCACAAGCGCCAGTACCGGCCTAAGGACCAGCATTAGCACCAGCACCAGCATCAGCACCGACACCAGCACTTGCACCAGATCCAGAACAAGCACCATCATCAGCTCCAGCACCAGCACAAGCACAAGCTTCATCACCAGCTCCAGCACGAGCAACAGGACAGGCAAAAGCGCCAGCATCAGCCACAGCAACAGCACCAGCATAAGCAGAGGGTCCAGAACAAACACCAGAACTATTATAGCCAACAGGACAGGCTACAGCACCAGCACCAGAACCTGAACCAGGTCCAGCACTATTCCATGCACCAGCACAAGCGCTGACACCGGCCCAGGCACCAGCACAAGCACCAGCACAAGCACAAGCACCGGGTCTAGCACAAACACCAGAATTAGCATAGGCTCCAGCACAGGCACCAGCACCTATACCAGCACCAACACCACTACCAACACAGACACCAGAACCAGCGCTAGCACCAGAACCTGCGCCAGCACCAGCTCCAGCAGAAGCACCGGGTCCAGCACAAACACCAGAACTAGCATAGGCACCATCACAAGCACCGGTACCAGCACAGGCACCAGCACCAGTACCAGCACCAGTACCAGCACCAGTACCAGCAGTAGTACAGGCACCAGCACAAGCGCGGACACCGGCCCAGGCATCAGCACAAGCACCAGCACAAGCAACGGTTCCAGATCCAGAACCAGCTCCAGTACCAGCACCACCACCAGCACAAGCACCGGTTCGAGCACAAACACTAGCGCAGGCACCAGCACCAACACCAGCACCAGCACCAGCACAAGCCTATGCACCAGGACAGACAAAAGCGCCAGAACCAGCCCCAACACCAGCTCCAGAACAAGCAACGGCACATGCACCAGCACCAGCAACAGCACTAGCACTAGAAACAGCATCAGCACCAGCTACAGCACTAGTAAAGCCACAAGCACAAGCGCCAGTAACGGCCCAGGCACCATGACAAGCAACAGCATCATTACCAGAACCAGCACCAGCACAAGCACGAGACCAGCACAAGCACTAACACCAGCACCATCCGATGCACTAGCAAACAGCACCAGCACCAGCTCCAGCACCAGTACAAGCATCAGCACAAGCGTCAGCACCGGCCTAAGTACTAACAAAAGCACAAGCAGCAGCCTCAGCACCAGCACCAGGACGAGCACCAGCACCAGCACAAAAACCAGCATCTGAACCAGCCTTAACACCAGGAAGGGCACAAACGCCAGCACCAGCACAAGCGCTGGCGCCGACCCAGGCACCAGTAAAAGAAACAACACCGGCACCAGCACAGGCATCAGCACAGGCACCAGCACCAGTACCAGCACCAGCACCAATACCACTACCAAAACAGACTCCAGCACCAGCACCAGCTCCAGCAGTAGTACAGGCACCAGAAAAAGTGCCAGCACCGGCCCAAGGACTAGCATTAGCACAAGCACCAGCATCACCATCAGCACTAGCACTAGAACCAGCACCAGCAAGAGCTCAAGCAATAGTACAGGCACCAGCAAAAGCACCAGCACAAGCACCTGGTCCAGCACAAGTTCCAGCACCAGAACCAGCACCAGCACCAGCACGAGCAACAGGACAGGCAAGAGTTCCAGCACCAGCCCCAGCACTTGCACAAGCACAGGGTCCAGCACAAACACCAGAACTATTATAGGCTAGAGCACAAGCAACAGCACCAAAACCACCACCAGCAGGGACACCAGCACCAACACCAGAACCAGCACCAGCACCAACACAAACACTGGGTCTAGGACAAGCACCAGCACTATCAACAGCACCAGCACCAGCACCAGCACCAGCCTAAACACCAGCGCCACAAGCGCCAGCATCAACACTAACACCAGCACAAGCACTGGGTCAAGCAAAAGCACCAGCACCACCACCAGTCCCACCACCAGCACTAGCAGCAGCCCCAGCACAAGCTCCAGCAATAATACCAACACCAGAACCACCACCAGCAGCAGCACCAGACTAAGCACGAGGACAGGCAGAAACGCCAGCATCAGCAAAAGCAACGGCACAGGCACTAGCACCAGCAGCAACACTAGCAGCAGCACAATATCCAGCACCAGCATTAGCACAAGCAACAGCATGAGCACCAGGACCAGCACAAGCAACGTGTCCAGCACCAACACCAGCACAAGCACAGGCACCAGCACAGGCACCAGCACTGGCACCAGCACAGGCACCAGCACAGGCACCAGCACAGGCACCAGCACAGGCACCAGCACAGGTACAAGCACAGGCACAGGCACCAGCACAGGCACCAGTACCAGCCTAAGAACCAGGACAGGAACAATAGCCAGTACCAGCACCAGCCTAAGAACCAGGACAAAGAAAGCACCAGCACCAGCACTAACACCAGTACAGGCACCAGCCCCAGCACAGGCACCAGCACCAGCACCAGTACCAGCACCAGTACCGGCACTGGTAAAACCACCAGTACAGGAACAAGCAACAGCACCAGCACTAGTAACAGCTCCAGCACTAGTACAGCCACCACCACAGGCACCAGCACAGGCTCCAGCACAGGCACCAGCACAGGCACCAGCACAGGCACCAGCACCAACACCAGCACCAGCCTAAGTACAAGGACAGGCACAAGTACCAGCACCAGCACTAACATCACCACCAGCATTAACACCAGCACCAGCACAGGCATAAGCACCAATACCAGTTCCAGCACAAGCACTAGAACAAGCACCAGAACTAGCACAAGCACCAGCACCAGCACCAGCACCAGCACCAGCACCAGCTTCAGCACTAGTACAGGCACCGCTAGCAGCACCACAACCACAACCAGCATCACCACCACCACAACAACCAGCCTAAGCACCAGCACAAGCACAAGCACAGGTACCAGCACAAGCATCAGCACCAGAACCAGCACAGGCACCAGCACCAGCACCAGCACCAGCACCAGCACCAGCACCAGCACCAGCACCATCACCAGCACCAGCACCAGCACCAGCACCAGCATCAGCATCAGCACTAACACCATAACCAGCACCAGCTCCAGCAATAGTACAGGCACCAGGACAGGCACAAGCGACAGCACCACCAAACCAGCACCAGCACCTATTCCAGCACCAGCATCAGCACCCGCACAAGCCTAAGCCTCAGCTTCAGCACCAGCACCAGCACAGGAACCGGTACGAGTACCAGAACAAGCACAAGCACCAGCACAAGCATCAGCACCAGCAACAGCACCGACACCAGTAGAATTACCAGCATAAACACCAGCACAAGGACCAAAAAACAGCAACAGCACTAGCACAAGCACCACCACCAGCACCAGCAACAGCATCAGCACCAGCACCATCACCTGCACCAACACCATCGCTAGGCACCAGGTAAGGCACAAGGGCCATCACCAACACCAGCACCAGCACCAGCGCCAGCATTTGCACCAGCACTAGCACCAGAACCAGCACCAGCACTAGCTCCAGCTCCAGCACTAGTAGAGGCACTAGTACAAGAGCCGGCATTTGCTCAAGTTCCAGCACAAACACCGGTACGAGCACCAGCACCTGTTCCAGCACTAGTACAGGCAACATGAAAAGCCCCGGAACCGGCACAAGCACTTGCACCTGCAAAAGCACTGGGTCCAGCACAAGCACCAGCACCAGCACTAGCACCAGCACAAGCTTAAGCATCAGGACAGGCACAAGGGCCAGCACCATCACCAGCACAAGTACTGCTTCAAGCACAAGCACCAGCACCATCACCAGCGCAAGCCCCACCACCTCCTCCAGCTTTAATAAAGGAATCAGCATAAGCACCAGCACCAGCACATGCACGGGGTCCAGCACAGGCACCAGCACAGGCGCCAGCACCAGAACCAGCTCCAGAACCAGTACTGTTACAAGCACCAGCACAAGCACCAACAACAGCATGAAAACCAGCAACAGCTCAAGCACTAGTTCAGGCACTAGCACAAGTACCGGCACCATCCCAGGCACCAGCACAATCACCAGCACAAGCACCAGCAAAAGCACTGGGTCCAGCACAAGCACCAGCACCACTACCAGCAACACCACCATCACCAGCCCCAACATCACCACCAGCACCAGCATCACCACCAGGATCAGCCTAAGCACCAGGACAAGCAGCATCAGCAAAAGCAATGGCAGAGCTACCAGCACAAGCACAAGCACCAGCACTAGCACTAGCAAAATCTCCGGGTCCAGGACAAGCACCAGCACCAGCATCAGCCCAAGCACCGAGTCCAGCTCCAGCACTAGCCTAGCACCAATAATACCACAAGCACCAGCAATAGCACCTGCACAAAATTCAGCACTGATACAGGCATCTCCACAGGCACCTGCGCAGGCACCAGCACCAGTACCAGTTCCAACACCAGCACCAGAACAAGCACCAGAACTAGCACAAGCACCAGCACCAGCACCAGCACCAGAACCAGCAGCAGCACCAGCTCCAGCACTAGTACAGGCACTAGGACAGGCACCGCCACCAGCACCACAACCACAACCAGCATCACCACCACCACTACAGCCAGCCTAAGCACCAGCACCAGAACAAGCACCAGAACTAGCACAAGCACCAGCACCAGCACCAGCACCAGAACCAGCAGCAGCACCAGCTCCAGCACTAGTACAGGCACTAGCACAGGCACCGCCACCAGCACCACAACCACAACCAGCATCACCACCACCACTACAACCAGCCTAAGCACCAGCACAAGCACAAGCACAGGTACCAGCACAAGCATCAGCACCAGCACCAGCACTGGCACCAGCACCAGCACCAGCACCAGCATCAGCACTAGCACCAGCACCAGCAGCACCACCAGCACAACCACAAGCACCAGCTCCAGCACTTGTACAGGCACCAACACAAGGGCCGCCACCGGCCCAGGCACCAGCAGAAGCACTAGCACCAGAAACAGCAACAGCTCCAGCAATATTACAGGAACTAGCACCAGCACCAGCACTAACACCACCACCACCAGCAGCACGAGCCTAAGCACCAGGACAGGCAGAAGCGCCAGCACCACCAAACCAGCACAAGTACAGGCATCAGCAACAGCACCAGCTTCAGAACCAGCACCAGTACCAGCACCAACATCAGCACCAGCACAAGCACCAGCACCAGAACCAGAACCAGAACCAGAACCAGAACCAGAACCAGAACCAGAACCAGAACCAGAAACAGCACCACCACCAGAATAAGCACCAGCAACAACACCACACCACAACCAAAACCACCACCACCACCAGCACCAGACTAAGCACCAGAAATGGCTCAAGCGCCAGCACCAACACCAGCACCAGCAAAAGGAACGGCACAAGCACAGGTACCAGCACTAGCACCAGCACCAGCACTAACACCACCACCAGCACCAGCACTAGCCTAAGCTCCAGGACAGGCACACGCGCCAGCACCAGCACCAAAACTAGCAACATCACAAGCACAAGCACAGGCACCAGCACCGCCAACAGCACCAGCACCAGCCCCAGCACCAGAATCAGCACAAATACCAGCTCCAGCTCCAACACCAGAACAGGCACAAGCACAAGCGCCAGCACTGGCCCAGGCCCCAACACAAGCACAAGCACCAGCACCAACACCAGCACCAGCACCAGCATCAGCATCAACACCAGCACCACCACCACTACCAGCACCACCACAAGCACCAGCTCCAGCACTTGTACAGGCACCAGCACAAGGGCCGCCACCGGCCCAGGCACCAGCAGAAGCAATATAACCAGCACCAGCACAACCACCCAGTCCAGCAGCAGAACCAGCACCAGAACCAACACCAGCACTAGCATTAGTTCTAGCTCCTGCACAAGAACCGGCACCGGACCAAGCCCCAGCACAAGAACCAGTACGAGAATTAGCCCATGCACCAGCATCAGCACAATCTCCAGCACTGGTACAGGCACCAGCACAAGCACCAGCACTGGCCCAGGCATCGACCCAAGCACAAGCGCAAGCACCAACACCAAGACTAGCACCAGCACAGTCCCCAGCACCAGCACCGACACCAGCCTAAGAACCAGCACCAGCACCAGCTCCAGCACCAGTACAGGCACTAGCACAAGCGCCAGCACCAGCCCAGGCTCCAGCACTAGTGCAGGCACCAGCACAAGCACCATTACCAGCACCAGCACAAGCACCGGGTCCAGCACAAGCACCAGCACCAGAACTAAGCATCAGGAGAGGCAGAAGGGCCAGCACCATCACCAGCACAAGTACTGCTTCAAGCACAAGCACCAGCACCACCACCAGCGCAAGCACCACCATTAGCTCTAGCACTAGTAAAGGAATCAGCATCAGCACCAGCACCAGCACATTCACGGGGTCTAGCACTATCACTTGCACCAGCACCAGCACTGGCACCAGTACAGGCACCATCACAGGCACCAGCACAGACACCAGCACAGGCACCAGCACCAGAACCAGTACTGTTACAAACACCAGCACAAACAACAACAGCAACACGAAAACCAGCACCAGCTCTAGCACTAGTACAGGCACAAGCACAGGCACCAGCAAAGTCACCAGCACCAACACCAGCACCACCACCAGCACCAGCACCACCAGTACCAGCATCACCAGAACCATCCTAAGCACCAAGACAGGCATAAGTGCCAGCTTCAGCAGAAGCAACGACACAGGCACCAGCACCAGCACCAGCACCAGCACCAGCACCAGCACCAGCACCAGCACAAACACTGGGTCCAGGACAAGCACCAGCACTATCACCAGCACCAGCACCAGCACCAGCCTAATCACCAGGAGAGGCACAAGCGCCAGCACCAGCACTAACACCAGCACAAGCAAAAGGAACGGCACAAGCACAGGTACCAGCACCAGCACCAGCACCAGCACCAGCACCAGCACCAGCACCAGCACCAGCACCAGCACAAGTACTGCTTCAAGCACAAGCACCAGCACCACCACCAGCGCAAGCACCACCATTAGCTCTAGCACTAGTAAAGGAATCAGCATCAGCACCAGCACCAGCACATTCACGGGGTCTAGCACTATCACTTGCACCAGCACCAGCACTGGCACCAGTACAGGCACCATCACAGGCACCAGCACAGACACCAGCACAGGCACCAGCACCAGAACCAGTACTGTTACAAACACCAGCACAAACAACAACAGCAACACGAAAACCAGCACCAGCTCTAGCACTAGTACAGGCACAAGCACAGGCACCAGCAAAGTCACCAGCACCAACACCAGCACCACCACCAGCACCAGCACCACCAGTACCAGCATCACCAGAACCATCCTAAGCACCAAGACAGGCATAAGTGCCAGCTTCAGCAGAAGCAACGACACAGGCACCAGCACCAGCACCAGCACCAGCACCAGCACCAGCACCAGCACAAACACTGGGTCCAGGACAAGCACCAGCACTATCACCAGCACCAGCACCAGCACCAGCCTAATCACCAGGAGAGGCACAAGCGCCAGCACCAGCACTAACACCAGCACAAGCAAAAGGAACGGCACAAGCACAGGTACCAGCACCAGCACCAGCACCAGCACCAGCACCAGCACCAGCACCAGCACCAGCACCAGCACCACCACCAGACTAAGCACCAAAACAGGCAGAAGCGCTAGCATCAGCAAAAGCAATGGCACAGGCACCAGCACTAGCACAAGCCCCAGATCCAGAACTAGTACAGGCACTAGCACAAGCGCCAGCACCAGCCCAGGCTCCAGCACTAGTGCAGGCACCAGCACAAGCACCATTACCAGCACCAGCACAAGCACCGGTTCCAGCACAAGCATAGGCACCAGAACCAGCACCAGCACCAGCACCAGCACCAGGACCAGCACCAGCAGCAGCACCAGCTTAAGCATCAGGAGAGGCACAAGGGCCAGCACCATCACCAGCACAAATACTGCTTCAAGCACAAGCACCAGCACAGACACCAGCACAGGCACCAGCACCAGAACTAGTACTGTTACAAACACCAGGACAAACAAGAACACCAACACGAAAACCAGCACCAGCTCTAGCACTAGTACAGGTACCAGCACAGGCACCAGCAAAGTCACCAGCACCAACACAAGCACCACCACCAGCACCAGCACCACAAGTACCAGCACCAGCAGCACCATCCTAAGCACCAAGTCAGGCATAAGTACCAGCTTCAGCAGAAGCAACAACACAGGCACCAGCACCAGCACCAGGACAAACACTAGGTCCAGGACAAGCACCAGCACTATCACCAGCACCAGCACCAGCACCAGCCTAATCACCAGGACAGGCACAAGCGCCAGCACCAGCACTAACACCAGCACAAGCACTGGGTTATGCACAAGCACCAGCACCACCACCAGTCCCACCACCAGCACTAGCAGCAGCACCAGCACAAGCTCCAGCACCAATACAAACACCAGAACCACCACCAGCAGCAGCACCAGACTAAGCACCAGAACTAGCACCAGCTGCAGCACCAGCACCAGCACCAGCACCAGCTCTAGCACCAGAACAAGCATCACCTCCAGCACCAATACCAGCATAAGGACAAGGACAGGCACAAGCACAAGCACCAGCACCAGCACCACCACCAGCCCTACCACCAGAACCAGCACCAGCAGCGGCACCAGCACCAGCCTAAGCACCAGGATAGGCACAAGCGCCAGCATCAGCAAAAGCAACAGCACAGACACCAGCACCGCTCAAGCACTAACAACTGCACCGGCTCAGGAACCAGCAGAGGCACCAGCACCAGCACAAGCTCAAGCACCAGCATCAACAGCAGCACCAGCAGCACCTATAGCATCAACATCAGCCTAAGCACCAGAACTTGCACCAGCATAAGCACCAGTGCCAGCACCAGAGCAAGCAATTGTTTCAGCACAAGCACCAGTACCACAACCTTCACCAGCACTAGCACCAGCACCTGCCTAAGCACCAGCACAGGCACCAGCACCAGTACCATCACCAGCTACAGCACCAGCACCAGTACTGCAACCAGCAGCAGCACCAGCCTAAGCAACAGCACCTGCTCCAGCATTGGTACTGGCACCAGCAGAAACGCCAGCACCGGCCTAAGTAAGGGCCAAAGCACAAGCAGAAGCAACAAAACCAGCACCAGCTCAAGCACCAGCCCCAGCACCAGCACAAGCACTTGCACTGGCCCAAGTTTCCGGTACGAGTACCAGCACCAGCACAAGTCACAGCACCAGCATCAGCACCGGCACCAGTACAAGCAGCAGCATAAACACCAGCACAAGTACCAGCACAAGCACCAGCTCCAGCACTTGTACAGGCACCAGCACAGGCACAAGCACCAACACCAGCACCAGCACTTGTACAAAAACCAGCACAAGTACAGGAGCCGCCTCAAGCACTAGCACCAGCACCAAAACAAGAACCGGGTCCAGCATAAGCAACAGCACCACCAGCACCAGCACCAGCTTTAGTACAAGGACCAGCAAAAGCGCGGGCACTAGTACTATGCACAAGGACAGGCACAAGTGCCAGCACCACCAACAACACCAGCAAAAGCACAAGCAACGTCACAGGCACCAGCACCAGCATTATCACCAGCACCAGCCCAAGCACCTGCACAAGCACCAGCATCTGCAGAAGCATCAGAAAAAGGACAGGCACAAGATCCATCACCAGCAAAAGCAACCGTACAGGCACCAGTACCAGCTCCAGCACTAGTGCAGGCACCAGTACCAGCTCCAGCACTAGTCAGGCACCAGCACAAGCGCTGGCACCGGTGCATGGACAAGCACCAGCACCAGCACCACCACCAGCTCTAAAATCCAAGCACTAGGAAACTAAGAACAAGCACAGGGTCAAGCACAAGCACCACCACCAACACCAGCACCAGCACCAGCCTAAGCACCAGGACAGGCGGAAGCGCCAAAATCAGCAAAAGCAAAGGCACAGGCACCAGCACCAGCACCAGCGCTAGCACCAACACTAGAACCAGAATCAGAACAAGCACCAGCACCAGTTCCTGCTACAGCAATAGTACAGGCACGAGAACAAGCGCCGGCACTTGCACAAGCACCAGCACAAGCACCACCACCAGCAGCAAGACAAGCACCAGCACCACCACACACACCACCACCAGCACCACCAACATCACAACCCCCAGCATCACCACCAACCTAAGCACCAGGACATCAGAAGCGCCAGCACTAGCACCAACACCAGCACCAGCACCAGCACCAGCACCAGCACCAGCAGAAATACAAGCACCAGCACCAGCATAATCAACAGCACAAGCACCAGGACCCGCACAAGCACCAGCACAAGCACAGGCACCAGCATCAATATCAGCACTAGCACTAGCATCAGCACCAGCACCAGCTTTTTCACTAGTACAAGCATAAGCACCAGCAACGCAACAAGCACAAGCACCGGTACCAGAAGAAGCACCTGCATCAGCACAAGCACCAGTGCCACCACAAGCACCAGCATCAGCACCGGCACCAGTACAAACAACAGCATAAGCACTAGCAAAAGGATTAGCACAAGTACCGACATCAGCACCAGCACCAGCACCACCACCAGCACCAGCACCATCTTAAGCACCACCACTTGCACCAGCATCAGCACCAGCAGCAGCACCAGCACAAGCACTGGCACAAGCACCGGCACAAGCACCAGCACAAGTATCAGCACCGGCTCTAGTACAGGTACCAGAACAAGAAAGGTATACAGGAACAAAGCAATACGACGACGAGAATCCAATGTCACGAAATAAATTTTCAAAATAAATTAAATTTAAGAGTATACTAATATTTTGCTCCGACATACAGGGCTTCAGCAGAGTAAATGAACGAACGAGTGAATGGATTTGAAATGTGAGATGGTGGTGCCAGATTGGTGGATGTTGAATGGTGTGAATGCAGCGCAGTGGAGAAAAAATGGGATGATTGAAGTGGGGGAGGGAAAGGTTGTGGGTGATGTAAGGGGATGTAGGTGGTGCTATGGAGATAGATGCAATGGGATGATAATGATGACTATAAACATGAAAAAAATATTAATAATAATAATAATATAAATAATAATAATTGTGATGGAACTGAAAATGATGAAATGTTGATGATAGTAATGGTGGTGATGATGATTATAATGGTAGGGAAAATATGGTGTGGGTTGTGAGGGCGGCGTGATATGTGATAAGTTGTTTTATAAAGTTAAAGGTCGTTGGTTCTGTTCATACCGTTGGGGGTAAGGGTGTTCGTCATGCCAATGAGTTATTGCTCCTTAGCTCGACGAACACTCTCTCCTTTGTCATTAAGTCTAAGTAGTGGTGTTATGGCAAGGTCGTGGATGGTGTGTGCTGGGCTGCAGAAATGTTCTGCAACACCAGACTTTTCTTCTTTTTTGTTGATAATGTCTCGTCGGTGTTCGCTAAATCTGTCTTTAAGTCGTCTGCTAGTTTGTCCGATGTATTGACAGTTTTTGTTTCCGTTATGTAGACAGAGTTTGCATTGTAATGCGTATATGACGTTGGTGGGGTTGCAGTCCAGTCGTTGTTTTATGTCGTAGTTTTTGTCAGTGTTAGAAAAATTAAATGTTGTAGTCCCGTCTGTGATACGTTGGCATGTTAAACAGTTACGTCGCGATTGGCATTTGTATGAACCTCTGGTTTCGCTGGGTGTGTCATTTTTAATTTTGGCACGAACCAGTAAATTCCGGAGGTTTTTGGTCTGCAGTAAATAAGTATGGGTGCGTTGGGGAAGGCTTCTTTACATGTGTTAGAGTTTTGTAGTATGTCAAGGTTTTGTTTGAGTATGGTGGATAGCTGTGGCAAAGCTGGGTGGTAGGTAAAAACAAATGGCGTGCGATGATTAGTGCGTGGTTTGGTGGTCTTGAGGCAGTCTTGTCTGGTTTTCTTAGCAGCCTTCTGTATTTGTTTGTTTGTCTGTTTGGGTTTGTAACCCCGTTTTGTCAAGTATTCCAGTAGTTGTCTCGTGCGATATTTGAACGTTTCGTCTTCGGAGCAGATCCGTCGTAGTCGTAGGGCAAGACTGTATGGAATGGATTGTTTGGTGTGTTTGGGGTGTGCGGAGCTGCTGAGGAGATATTGGTGTGTATCCGTGGGTTTAATATAGAGATCTGTAGAGAGGGTATTATCATTATTGATGGAAATAGTGACGTCAAGAAAATGTATGGATTTTTTGGATTGTTCTGTGGTGAATTTGATGGTGGGATGGGTGTTGTTGAGTGTATCGATGAAGTCGGTGAGTTTGTCTTGTCCGTGTGTCCAAATCATAAAAATGTCGTCGATGAAACGCCACCACACAAGAGGCTTGTGCGGGGCTTTGTCAAGGGCATTGGTTTCAAGGACTCCCATAAAGATATTGGCGTAGGGTGGTGCCATTCTTGTACCCATCGCTGTGCCATGTTTTTGTAAAAAAAAGTTTCCGTTGAACTCAAAGTTGTTATTTGTCAGAATAATGTTGATGAGGTCGCAAACAATTTCTGTGGGGGGAGTTTTGGAGGTGCGTTCGTCGAGGTGTAACCTAGCAGCTTGGATACCTTCTGTGTGAGGGATGTTGGTGTATAAGGATGATACGTCAAGGGTGACAAGGAGAGAGTCGTTGGGAAGTGTGGAGATGGAGTTGAGTTTGTTAAGAAAATATGTGGTGTCTTTGATATAAGATGGCAGTTTGGAGACCAGTGGGTTTAGGATGTTGCTGACGTATTCTGAGCTGTGCTCTGTAGGATGGCCATTAGCTGAGACAATGGGTCACCAGGGAGTTTGCTGCGGTCTTTGTGGATTTTAGGTAGAATGTAGAATCTGGAGCATGTTGGTTGTTTGGGTGGTAGGTAGGTAAATGTTTCTTCGTTAATGTGATTGTCGTTTTTCATCAGTCGTAAGTAATTGGTCACTGTTCTCGTAACTTTGTTGGTTGTATCTTTGTCTTGTTTTATGTAAAAAGTCTTGTCGCTCAGTTGTCTGTTGCATTCGTTTATGTAAAACTGCGTGTCCATGACTACGACTCCTGACCTTTTGTCGGCGGGATTGATGACGATGTCAGTGTGTCTGGTGAGGTTTTTCTGTACGTTCCGTTCCGTGTTAGAGAGGTTATCTGTTATTTTAGTCGGCTGTATGTTTTTAATGTCGTCGTCGATTTTGTTGATGAATGTGTCTAAAGCCGGATCTAAGCCTCGTGGGGGTGTCCAGTTGCTTTTCTTTTTGTATACAGTGGTCGTATTGTTGTCAGAAGAGTTTCCATGTTTTATGTCTTTATTCTTGTCTTTGTCGTTGTTGTGGAAGTAATGTTTCAGTCGTTTTCTGCGTTTGAATTCAGTCAGATCTGCGTTGAGTTTGTTCCTGTCTATGTTTTGTGGGGTGGGGCAAAAATTGAGTTCTCTTGACAGTAATGTAAGCTCGTCATTGGTAAGGGGGGAAGTCGAGAGGTTTAGAACAGTGTTGGTTTGAAGTGGTTGTGTCTTTTGTTTTGAACGTGTTTTTCTCTTGGCTCGTCTCGTTAATGATGATGGTGATCATGATGTAGATAATGATGATGGTGATGATAGTGATGATGATGTTGATGAATGTAGCGATGGTGATGTGAGTGGGGGTGAAGATGATAATGATGGGGGTGCTGGTAGTGGTGAAAGTGACGTTGATGATGCTGAATAGTATAATGATGTTGGATATGGGAGGGTGTTAGAATGAGACTGTGGCATTGTGGGTTTTGTATCTTGGAAGGATACTAGATGGTGAGTGTGATGAGATGTGGGGTATGTATTGTGAGTAACGGAAAATCTTTTTAGAATTAAAAGAGTTAATTTGAATGCGAGGCTGTGTGTTGGTGACGTACTTGGGTGGGGGCTGACTGGGTCGAATTGATTTGATGGTGTTGGTATGTCCAAAATGATTGGAGGGTTGGTGATAATGACTATGGTGGCTGTGGGGTGGCTGGTTTGGTGTTCTGAAACAAATGAGTGGCCTAAATTAACATTGTATAATGATTTGTGATTACTAAGCATCATAAAAGAGAAGGGTAAATTAAATTGTAGTTGTAGATAGCAGAACAAGCACCAGCATGAGCACCAGCACAAGCACCAGCACAAGCACCAGCACAAGCACCAGCACAAGTACCAGCACAAGCACCAGCACAAGCACCAGCACAAGCACCACCACAAGCACCAGCACCAGCACAAGCACCAGCACAAGCACCAGCTCTAGCACTAGTACAGGTACCAGCACCAGCACAAGCACTGGCATCAGCACCAGCACCACCACAACCAGCACCAGCACCAGACTAAGCTTCAATTTAAGCACCGGCATCAGCACCAGTACCAGCACCAGCACAAGCACAAGCACAAGCACAAACACAGGCACAAGCACCATCACAAGCACCAGCACCAGCATCAGCACCAATACAGGCACCAATACAGGCACCAGCACAAGTACCAGCACCAGCACCAGCTCCACCGCTAGTACAGGTACCAGCACCAGCACCAGCCTAAGAACCACCAACACCAGCACCAGCACCACCAGCACCAGCACCAGCACCATCTTAAGCACCACCACATGCACCAGCATCAGCATCAGCACCAGCACCAGCACAAGTACTGGCACAAGCACCGGCACAAGCACCAGCACTAGCACAAGTGTCAGCACCGGCCCGAGCACAAGCTCCAGCACTAGTACAGGTACCAGAACCAGCACCAGCATAAGCACCAGCAGAAAACCCAACACAAGCACCAGCACTAGAACCAACACCAGCATCAGCACAAGCACAAGCACCCGCACTAGCACCAGCATCAGCACTAGCACTAGAACTAGTACAAGCACCATCACAAGGGCCGGCAAAAGCCCAAGCATCAGCACAAGAACCGGTACGAGCACCAGAACAAGCATCAGCACCAGCATCAGCACTGGCACCATTACAAGTATCAGCATTAGCACCAGCACAAGCACCTGCACCAGCAGAAGCATCAGAACCAGCATCAGCACCACACTAGCACCAGCATCAGCTGAAGCACAAGCACCAACAACAGCAGTAGAACTAGTACAAGAACCATCTCAAGCGCCGGTACAGGAGGCAGCAAGGGCACAAGCACCAGGAAAAGCACTGGTACGATCAAAAGCAACAGTACAAGCATCAGCACCAGTTTCAACACGAGCACCAGCACAAACACAGGCACAAGCCTAAGCACCAGCACCAGCACCAGCACCAGCACCAGCCTTAGAACTAGTAAACACCAGCACAAGCGTAAGCACAGGCCCAGGCACCAACACAAGCACCAATACAACAAACAGAACTAGCATTAGCACCAGCATCAGCACTCGCACTAGCATTAGCAGAAGCACAAGCACCAACATAACCAAAAGCACCAGCACAAGCACCGCTACCAGCACAAGCACTAGCACTAGTATAAGAACCAGCATAAGCACCAGCGCAAGCCTTTTTCCTGTCCTGGTGCTTAGGCTGGTGCTGGTGCTGATGTTGGTGCTGGTGCTGGTGCTGGTGCTGGTGCTTGTGCCAGTGCTTGTGCTGTTGCTGGTGTTGGTACTGGTGCTGAGGCTGGTGCTGGTGCTATTGTTTGTCCTAGTCCTTGTGCTGGTGCTTATGCTATTGCTTGTTCTGGTGAGGTGCTGATGCTGGTGCTTATGTTGGTGCTTGTGTTGGTGCTAGTGCTGGGGCTGATGCTGTTTCTCGTGCTGGTGTTTGTGCTCATGCTGTTGCTTGTATGGTGCCGGTGCTGATGCTGGTGGTTATGTTGGTGCTGGTGCTGGTGCTGGTGCTAGTAGTGGTGGTGGCCCTGGTGTTGGTGCTGGTGCTTGTGCCAATGCTTTTGCTGGTGCTGCTGATGCTGGTGCTGGTGCTGTTCTTTGTTCTGGTGCTTGTGCTGGTGCTTTTGCTGATGCTGGTACTGGTTCCCGTGCTAATGCTGGTGCTTATTTTGATGCTGGTGTCTGTGCTGGTGCTGATGCTGTTTCTGGTTATGTTGCTTGTGCTGGTGCTTATGCTGGTTCTTATGCTGTTGCTTTTACTGGTGCTGGTGCTTGTGCTTATGTTAGTTCTGGTGCTGGTGCTTCTGCTAGTGCTAGTGCTGGGGCCTACGCTGGTGCTGGTGCTGCTTCTGGTGCTGGTGCTGCTTCTGGTGCTGGTGCTGCTTCTGATGCTAGTGTTGGTGCTGGTGCTTGTGCTGGTGCTAGTGCTGGTTCTGGTGCTAGTGCTGGTGCTGGTGATGGTGCTTCTGCTCTTTCTGGTGCTGTTGCCTGTGCTGTTGCATGTACTGGTGCTGGTGCTAATGCTGGTACTGGTGCTGGTGCTGGTGCTTGTGTTGGTGCTTGTGTTGGTTTTTCTGCTCGTACCAATGCTTGTGCTGGTGCTTGTGCTGGTGCTTGTGCCGGTGCCGGCTTTTGTGCTTATTCTTGTGCTGTTTCTTTGTTCTAGTACTAGTGCTAGTGCTAGTGCTGGTGCTGGTGTTGGTGCTGGTGCTGGCGCTGGTGGTGGAGCTGGTCCCTTTGTTTGTGCCGATTCTTGTGCTGGTGCTGGTGTTGGTGCTAGTATTGTTCCTGGTGCGGGTGCTTGAGCTGGTGTCTTTGCTTTTGCCGGTGCTTGTGCTGGTGTTGGTGCTAGGGCTGGTGCCTGTGCTTGTGCTGATGTTTGTGCTGATGCCTGTGCTCGTGCTGATGCACCCGCACCAGCACTAGCACAAGCACTTGATCAATAAACACAACAAGTGCCCGCACAATAGCCGGCACAAGCACAAAAGGCGACACCGGCACAAGGTACAATCAGAAACACCAACACAAGCACCAGCATAAAAACCAGCACCAGCACTTACAAACTAAACCAACACAAGCACACACCAACGACATGAACAGTACCAGCATTAGCACAAGCACAGGCACCAGCACCAACACAGGCACCAGCTCCAGCACTAGCACCAGCCGAAGCACCAGGACCAGAACCAACATAAGCACCAGAACCAGAGCCAGTACAAGCAACAGCAGAAGCACCAACACCAGCAGCAGCACCAGCACCAGCACCAGCACTGGCACCAGCACCAGCACTAGCACTAGTAAAAGAACCAGCACAAGTATCGGCAGAAGAGCCGGCATTGGCATGAGCACCATCACAAAGATCGGCACAAGAGACGGCATTGGCACAAGCAACAGCACAAGCACCAGCACCAACACAAGCTCCAGCACAAGCACTAGCACCAACACAAGCACTAGCAGAAGCACCAGCACCAGAACCAGCACCAGCACCATCACCAGCCTTAGAACTAGTAAAGCACCAGCACAGGCATAAGCACAGGCCCAGGCACCACCACAAGCACCAATAGAACCACCAGAACTAGCATTAGCACCAACATCAGCACTAGCACTCACACTAGCATCAGCAGAAGCACAAGCACCAACATAAGCAAAAGCACCAGCACAAGCACCGCTACCAGCATAAGCACTAGCACTAGTACAAGAACCAGCAGAAGCGCCGGCAGCGGCCCAAGCACCATCACAAGAACCAGTTTGAACACCAGGACAAACACTAGCACCAAAACAAGCACCAGTACCAGCATCTGCACCAGTACCACTACAAGCACCATCTACAGCACCAGCTCCAGCAGAAGCACAAGCACCAGCATAAGCAACAGCACCAGCATAAGCAACAGCACCAGCACAAGCACCTGGTCCAGCACAACCACCAGCACCAGCATCAGCACCAGCACCACCACAAGCACAAGCACCAGCACCAGAACCAACATCTGCAGAAGCACAAGCACCAGTACAAGCACCAGAAAACACACCAGCACAGGCACCAGTACAATCACCAGCATCAGAACCAGCACTAATACCAGCACCACTACTAGTACCACCACAAGCACCAGAACTAGGCATCAGTTCAGAAACATGTTCCAGCACCAGCACAAAAACCAGCAATATCACAAGTTACAGCATAGGCACCAGCAGCACCAATAGCACCGCAACCAGCACCCGCACCAGCACCAGCTTTAGCTCTAGCAACAGTACAGGCACCAGCACAAGCGCCGACATTGACCTAGGCTTAAGCATCAGCACCATCAACAGCACCAGTACCATCACCAGCATCAGCACCAGCACCTTCACCAGCACTATCACTAGTGCAAGCACCAGCACAAGCGCCGGCATCGCCCCAAGCACCAGCACAAGAACTGGTACGAGCATCAGCACGAGCACCAGCATCAGCACAAGCACCAACACCAGCAGAAGCAACAGCACCAGCAACAGCACCAGAACAAGCACCAGCACCAGCACAAGAACAGGCATCAGCTCCAGCAGCAGCCCCAGCACCAGCACTAGAACTAGCACAAAAACAGGCATCAGCTCAAGCACCAGCCCCAGTACCAGCAC